TTAATTTTTTAATATTTGCATCGTGTAAAGTGAAGTAGTTTCACCTCAGAGCCTTCCTCTATCAGGAATACTCTTCCTCGACATCTGGGCAGGGCTGGGAGCTGAACCCAGGAAGTCTTACTTCTGAGTCCACGCTTTTAACTACCACACTGAACATGCCTAATTCTTCCTAGGAGTTCACTCTAACTTCAAGAGACTACCACCAACTCTTTCTGTCCTCCGTTTTCTCTTTTGCCTTATTTCTCATTTTCCAAAACGTGTTACTTTCATTTGTTGGACTGAGATATAATTATTGTAGCATAAAGACTGACAGTTTCAAAGTGTACAGTCCAGTGCTTTTTAGTATTCAAAGTTGTGCCACCATAACCATTATCTAATTCCAGAACATTTTCATCACCTCAAGAAAAAATTCCACACCCATAATTAAGAACTACTCATTTTGTCCCAAATGCTCAGCTTCTGGCATCCAGTAATCTACTTTGTGTCTATAGATTTCCCTAGTCTGACACTTGACATAAACAGAACCATACAATATGGCGCATTTTCTGTCTGGCTTGACTTAGAGTATTTTTCATGTCCGTAGTTTGAAGTATTGGTGGTAGGAGAACAATCATGGGTTGGTGGGAAACCAGTTCAACTCATACCCATTACCCATTAACTTTTCTTGTGCACTAGAGGATGAGTGTTATTTTGTGGCTGTGTTGGAGTGGATGGTGGAAGAGGAGCAATGGACTGGTTTCAGGTCACAATCTGAAGGCACTGAATGCATGCAGGGACGTGGGACACACCATGCCATTTCTTTCCTTCTTCTTTTGGTGCTTGCTTGGAGGTGCCCAGTTCCTTTTCACAAGGGACATGTGGGTAGTTGAGAGTGATATACCGACCTTCCCAATGCTGGTCATGCCATTCTCCTGAAGATGAGGTCTTCTAAGTGACCCTTACATCACCCTTCCCTGCACCCTTATGTCTGGGACAAGTTAGGTAGGTTGAGGGTGTACCAGCTCCTTCCTATGGTCATCCTGACGGTTCCTGGCTCCAGCAGGATCCCGGAGGACAATTCCCAATCCAATGCAGAGCAGTGAGGAATACCTACTCTGCACCCATCTGTGCTTTGGGGTTATTGTCTCATATACTCCTCAAAATGTTCCCAAGGAGTTTACAGTTTCATCTGCATTTTGTAGACGAGGAGATCCAGAAGCAGAGACACAGGGCAGGGGACTCCAAACTCTTTTGCCAACACGCAGCTGAACTAGAATTCAAACTTGGGTCTGACTTCAAAGCACATTCTCTTCCTGCTCAGCACATGCAAAGCAGAAGCAGGGTGGACGTTATTGATTACTGTATATTTCTCAGTCCGGTTTGATTTTCAGTCCAGCTTTTACCATCTCTGAATTTGCTGTGTTGGAGTTATTTATTTTGTAAATAATAGAAATGGACTGCAGCGAACTTAGGTTAAAAAAGAATGAGACTTTATTGGAAAAGTATTGCAGTAGCACAAGGAGCCCCAGAAAACACAGCATAACCAAGAGCCAGTAAAGGCAAGAGGTAGAGATAGTCTGGAGACACAAACTCGAGAATCCATGGTGTTTGTCATCAGAGTGCTGTGACCCAGCTTCAAACTCTCCCGCCCTGCTAATGTGCCACTCCCAGGAGGCGACCTGGTTTTCCTTCAGTCAGGTACTCACCGCTGGCGTCCTCCAGCTGTGGGCTGACATAAGGGAAGGATCCTACAGCAGAGCTGATAGATATTGTAAGCCCCGCAGGAATCCTGTCAGGTCTCGGAGTGCTCATGCTGGGAGGTTTTGTCTCCACTCCTTTGTAGTTCTGCCTCCACTCCCAGCAAAGACAGCCTTGAGCTATCTTCTTACTTCAAGACAAATCAACCTGTAAGCCCAGAGAGCAGGAGCTGGAGGAGAGGGCCTCACTGGGAACCCTGGAACGAACGCTGACCTTTTAGGGTACAGTGATCTCACACCCTGATAAACCTGTCTCAAAAAGTGGACCCGGCCGGGGATTTAGCTCAGTGGTTCCACCGCCTGCCTCGCAAGCACAAAGTCCCGAGTTCAATCCCTGGTACCACAAAAAAAAAAAAAAAAAAAAAAAAAAAAAAAAAAAAAAAAAAGTGGACCTATAAGATGATGAAGACGAAGGGGACCAGGGATAGGATATGACAGGGAGCAATGAGAAGGACAAAAACTCCCCCTACCAAAGAATCAGAGGAATAATCTATTTGAAATATATCCATGGTGTCCAGAGAAGACACAGGGAGTTCGTTTGGGAAGACTGAATTCTCCCCTTGATTGTGATATATAAAATGGATATTGGATCTATCAGAACGATTGGATCGTCTTGTTTCTGTCAGTCACAGCACGGAAAGCTCAGCCCCCATGTCAGTTTGTTAGATGGCAGAATCAGCAGTAACCAAGGCAAAGCACCATTAATGGACAAGACAATTCCATCAAAACAATCTCACAAATAATATATTGCTGTTTGTCATCAAGACACTTAATACACCAGGGGCTGCTCCCAAAGCTCCCATAATCAATTTTTGCTAATTTACCAATTCTGTGGCTCTGTGAGACTGCTGGTAATTTCATATTTTACACACCCACAGAGGTTACAGTAATTGATTCAGTTCTGGAAAGTGTTGTAATGACTTTGAGTGAACTTGAAAGGTTTTGCATTTGTTTTCAGAGGCTGTTAGACAGAGTGATTCAAACTCTGCCACACGGGCACAATTTGTAAAGGTTGGACATGAAAACGACGGATTAGCTTTTCTGGGAGACAGCTATCTTCTCGTTATAACCTCCTTACTCACGAGGCAGGCTGGGCTCGGCACTGAAACACTCGACTTGCTTTTTATCTGTATCTCGATGGTGGCGGAAATCATCTCAGAACATCTGAAGGAAAAAAAGGCAATTATTGAAAAAATCCTCCTAGAATGACTTGGCTTTCTGAATTCCATTTTTTTTTTTTTTTTTTTTTTTGGTAACAGACACCCAAAAAGTAAGTTGGCAAGGTTGAGAAGTAGTAGAAAATGTCTTCTTGACTTTGGCACTTCTGAAAAATAAATGTATATAGTCAACCTTCCCCTGCTCCTGAACTGCATATCTTGCCCTGTCCCCTTTAAGCTGATCAAGCATGAATAGGAAAGAGATTGTAGGAAAATAAATTCATAGCCTCCCCACTCTGGTACTGGAAATATGGTTACTATTAGAGAAAGTTTTCTATGTGCTGGACACTACGCTGCCTTCTGGACCTTGAGGGCATGTAATCTGAATGAATCCCTTCAAGGTTACTCAACCTATTTTAATTTTGTAGATCCCCAAATCCAGGCTAACCAAGGTTAAATAACTTGCTCAGATTCCCCATTCCTCCTGGTTACAATGCCTGTACCCATAACCTCTCTACCACTCCACCATTACCAGTGGTGTGCTGGTAAGTGTTTAAGAACCGACTTTCTAAAACAAATAACTAAAGTAAACTACACTCTAATCTGTGATGTCTTCTAATGACTGTGGTGTAAATGCTCTCACCATGATTAATGTCAGGGTACTGATATGATGTCACCGATTAAGGAAAGGTATGCATGATGGCTTTGATGCTGTCCCCCTAAACTTCTTTTCTCAGCTTTAATTGAGTTTATTGGTACATTTTAGGGATGCAGTACAGTTGCATTCATTGTTGGGATCTTGTACCTCTGCATGGCAGGACTTGGTTCTCGTTTTTTCCCCTTGTCCCTGCCCTCCCTTCACCCCCTCCTCCCCTCCCCATCTACAAACACTTTTTTCCATCTTTTCATTATCTCACATTTTTTTCTTTTCCCTTATTACCCTTCCCCTACCCATCCCACCTTCCCTACCCCCTCAACTTTTCTATGAACTGATAACCTAACTTGGCTTGTACTTTATTTTCCAGTTTGTCCCCCATATTCTCAGAGTGCTTTTCTTCATGGCCTCATTTTGCTCAGAGTGATTGTTGGATGCCACCAGAGTTCACCCTCCCTTCCAGGTAAGCACCTTACTTCTTATCTGGTAACCTTGGTGAAATTACCTTCATGCTGGAAATCAGTGGTAACAGACACCCAAAAAGTAAGTTGGCAAGGTTGAGAAGTAGTAGAAAATGTCTTCTTGACTTTGGCACTTCTGAAAAATAAATGTATATAGTCAACCTTCCCCTGCTCCTGAACTGCATATCTTGCCCTGTCCCCTTTAAGCTGATCAAGCATGAATAGGAAAGAGATTGTAGGAAAATAAATTCATAGCCTCCCCACTCTGGTACTGGAAATATGGTTACTATTAGAGAAAGTTTTCTATGTGCTGGACACTACGCTGCCTTCTGGACCTTGAGGGCATGTAATCTGAATGAATCCCTTCAAGGTTACTCAACCTATTTTAATTTTGTAGATCCCCAAATCCAGGCTAACCAAGGTTAAATAACTTGCTCAGATTCCCCATTCCTCCTGGTTACAATGCCTGTACCCATAACCTCTCTACCACTCCACCATTACCAGTGGTGTGCTGGTAAGTGTTTAAGAACCGACTTTCTAAAACAAATAACTAAAGTAAACTACACTCTAATCTGTGATGTCTTCTAATGACTGTGGTGTAAATGCTCTCACCATGATTAATGTCAGGGTACTGATATGATGTCACCGATTAAGGAAAGGTATGCATGATGGCTTTGATGCTGTCCCCCTAAACTTCTTTTCTCAGCTTTAATTGAGTTTATTGGTACATTTTAGGGATGCAGTACAGTTGCATTCATTGTTGGGATCTTGTACCTCTGCATGGCAGGACTTGGTTCTCGTTTTTTCCCCTTGTCCCTGCCCTCCCTTCACCCCCTCCTCCCCTCCCCATCTACAAACACTTTTTTCCATCTTTTCATTATCTCACATTTTTTTCTTTTCCCTTATTACCCTTCCCCTACCCATCCCACCTTCCCTACCCCCTCAACTTTTCTATGAACTGATAACCTAACTTGGCTTGTACTTTATTTTCCAGTTTGTCCCCCATATTCTCAGAGTGCTTTTCTTCATGGCCTCATTTTGCTCAGAGTGATTGTTGGATGCCACCAGAGTTCACCCTCCCTTCCAGGTAAGCACCTTACTTCTTATCTGGTAACCTTGGTGAAATTACCTTCATGCTGGAAATCAGATTTCTGTGGAAACTACGGTGACATCTCAGCCACATGCAGGGATGTGTGGGTGGAGGTGCACACTCCCCAGTGTGTGGGGCATTTGCAATATTCAGTGCTCTGGTGAGTTGAGGGGTGAGCTATAAACCCACTCAAATGCTCCCACATCAGAACCAACATGAATATGTGTTGAGAGAGTCCAAAGGGCTCTTCAAGTGGGAGAGAGACAATTTGGAGGAGTTGCCTGACTTGAGGAATAGAGAAGGAGCCTCTCTCTGGGTGCAACAAGAGTGGGGCTCTGGGGGGAATCAAGGAATTGCTATTTGTCAGTGAGGAGCGTGGGAGAGTGGTGATTCCAGGCAAAGCTCCCTGGAGCACAGTTAAACCCTGTGGAAACCTTTTGAATCTTTGTCTCAGGGAGGCCTTGGAGACAGTGCTTGGGAAAGGTGACAGGGTTGGGTTTATAAGGAGGAAAGGAGTGGGAGCTTGGATCTCAAGGGAGTCACGAGGTGGAGGGTGGCCACGACTAGGTGTGGGTCACAGCCGGGGACAGCGAAAGAGGAGCCATCAAAGAAGCAATGGTTCGGGCCAGGGAGGTTATGACGAGTCTTCTGAACTCATTGCCAAACGCCAGGCTGCGGTGTAGCTGCTGGAGGGGAGAGCTGCTTGGAGTTCATTGAGTAGCCTGCTCTGTGCTGGTGCTTTCCATGTGGCGTTCTATTTTGTCCTCATACAAATCCCTTTCATGACCTCGTGAGATGTTGAGGACAATTGACTTGGCTGCCAGTCATAGACCTGGTGAGGCAGGAAATACCTCCTTGCTGCTGATTCATAGCACAGAAAGAAACCCTTTTGTCCAAGATCCCCCATTCTTTCATTGAGGGGCATTTTCTCTACCTGGAAGCATCTGCAATTGTAAACTACTATTTCGTGAGCTCTTATTAAACCTCAGCGCCCGGCTGCCGCAGGTTTTCACCCGATGTTCCATTTCGTACATCAGGGCAGTGGTGAAGTGTTATTCCTACCATTTTCCCACAAGAGAATGCTCGTCTGCAGAGGGCTAAAGTCACTTGACCAAGGTCATACCTGAGCTCCAGCCCAGCCCCGACTGACAACCACGCTGTGCTCTGAATGGCTCTGACATCTTGCCTCCCGCTCTTTTGATGTGTTCAAGACCAACTCTTCTCCTGGGTTAGGAATCACCAGTCACATAAGAGAGCAGAGTGGAGGTTTGACTGCCTGTCCCCAAAGCCCTTAGTCTCCTAGGTTTTCACTGCCCACCCAGAGAAGGTGTCTTCACTATCATCCTTCAGGATAAAAGTGACAAGCATCAGGGCAATAACGGACAGTTGTTAATTCTCCTACCCTAAACACAAGAGTGAATGGTTTAATTCCAGAGTTAGAAACGGGGCTCTCACTTTGAGCTTACGTTCAGTAATGCAGATCTAGAATAACTGGATTTTTGTGCTCCAAGGGAGAGTTTATGTTGATGGGAAAAGATTATGTCGCCACGTGGGTCTCACCCCTGATTTCCGTATCCCTCAGGTTAAAGCCCATATGTTGAGCTAAGTTTATGTTTTTGCTTGCCATTCTGTAGCTTTTGGTGTCAGGCAAATTACTTTATCTTGTTTGGCCTTGATGTTTTTCAAATGTGAAATAGGTGTGAGTGCGAAGAGGGCTTTCTAGGTTATAATAGGACTTGAATGAGAAAATAAGTCATGAGGAAGTGCAGAGCTCATAGCAGACGGATGTGAACATCTTGGTACAGCATGGTGACTGGGATGTGCTTGCTGACCTTTGGCCAGGGATTGGAAGCCTAGCTCTGCCATTTATTTACTATGCAACCTTGGGAAGTATTTTACTTTTTGATCCTCTGTTCCCTTATATCTACAGTGAGGGTGTTAGTAACACTTGCTTCATGGATTAGATGTGAAGATGACAAGAGAGTGTATAGGGAATGCTCAGCACAGTACCTGGTGTACAGTAAACATCTGGTGAGCATTACCTGTTATACCATCGAAGGAAGGATCTTGTTAATAATCATCAGGTGGCTTCAGTGGGAGACAGGAGGCAGTAAGGAGAACAGGGATGAGGAGTGGTGCTGAATCATACCAGTGGGGAGGTCACTTCCTGTGGCGGGAATTTAGGAAGGACCTGGGGGGCTTTAGTTGGATTCCAGGGCATGGAGCTCTTCAAAAATGGCCCTTTCAAAAGTACAGAGTGGAAGGGATCATATTTATTGGGCATCTGTTACATTCCAGGGACTCTTTGAGACATTGTTATGTAAAGACTTCCCTTAACCCCTGGAAGCACCCAGCAAAGTGGCATCATTATCTCCATTTTACAGATGGGAAAGTGGAATTTCATGAATGTGAACTGGATTAAGCATAAGAGTGGGGAGTTGAATCCAAATTGCTCAGAGCTACCCAGAACACAGGACTTTGAACACTTCACCCCAGAAAGGGGTTTTTGGGAGTAGGGACACCAGTTATAGCTCCTGCAAGCAAGAGCCCTCTTGCTCCCTCCATCCCCAGGGAAACCAGGGGTCCCAGCAGAGTTTCTGAGTTTCTGATGATCACCGTGGCTTCTGCTTGGCTCATTGTATCTTTCTGTGAGCCCCAGCCCGGCGAGGTGCCAGTGGACTTAGCTAATGTTCCTGAACGGCCCATTCCCAGAGACCCTCACAACGGCCCTATTATTTCCCACCAATCATGGGCCAGCTCCCTGCCTGGGCCCCACATCTAGAGGCGATTTCTCTTTTTCAGGAGAGTCAGCCAGGAACTTGAGAGCTGCTGTGAAGGTAATTAGGAAAGTTTGGCCATAGAAACCCTTGGCCTCCTGTGGCAGGGAAGGGAAGGGAGGGAGGGAGGCGCTGTGAAGGATGCAGGATGTTTCATTTTCTAGGCAGCTGTCTGCACTGATCAATGGGGAGGCAAGACACCACATCAGGATCAGAAGAGGGGACAGAAAGGAATGAGTCTGTGTGTACACAGGACTGCAGAGCACAAAGTGATCTTCTGTGTGTCTTCAAGCAGGATGGAGACGGGAGCGAGCCTACCTTCTTCCCCAGCCATGAACCTTCCTTCCCTCTCCCCAAACTGGTCAACATGATCGTTAGGATAACTCTAGCTCTTTCTCGATCTGCCGCAGAAGCTGTCTGTGCTTCTTCTCTTTCCTTATTCTGATCCTAAGTCCTACCCGCTCACGGACTAGTTTGTCTCTGCCTGGAACATACACGTTGGATTTGGTAATCTCTCCATCTCTCTTCTTGCCCAGACCACTGTCATAGTTTTTTTTGTTTTAAACTCTGCTTGGTCGGCTACATGTACGAATCAGGTTACTTTTCATTGCTCTATTAGACCCACCAGTCACCTCCCTTTGCTTCTAAAGTAAAAGACAAACTCCGGAGCATGCCCACCGCCTGCTGTGCGCGCCTACCTCTCTGAGGTCTTGTCCTCATCTTTCCCCAGCACTCAGCCCAGTCCTCCAGCCACCCTGCCCTTCCTCACACTCCTTGGAAGTGCCACGCCTTGGGTGTGTGCACTCTCTGTCCCCCCACCCCCGCCTGGACCCCTCTTCCCTCAGGTCATTCTGTGGCTAGGGCTGCCTCCTTCTTATCTAGATGCCATCTTCATAGAGAGGCCTTTCCTGAACCTCCTTTCTGAAATAACAGCTGCCTCCACTCGGTGATAAATGGTCTCCCTTTATTGTCTTCCTCACGTTTGTCTTGGTCTGTAATGATTTTATTTGTTGTTTGCTGCTACTGAAGGTAGAAGAAGAGTTTTCTGAGATTGGAAACCTTTCTTGCTGGTGTACTAGGGTGTCCCCATTACCAAGAACAGGTAACCATTAGTTTAATGCAAGAATAAATGTCCAATGTACCTATTTGGGAATGTAATATCCCCTCTTCTTTTTTTCTCTTTGTAATCAGATGAGTTAGGGGTTGTTTTCATCCCCATTTTGATGGGGGAGGAAACAGACTAAACATTCAAATGGGCAATGGCTAGACCTTATATGACATTGCTCTGCCCCACCACCTCTGTAGTTATCAGTCTGGGAAACTAGACCACAGCTTCTCTAGTGATTGATTCCAAACAGTCAGGAGTTGGTCAACAAATAACTTTACTGGGTTTTACTTCCACTTCCAACTTAGGACCAACTGGAGAAAGTCAAACGCACACCCTTAGCCAGTCTTACAAGATGCTCCACTGGAAAGGCAAGCCCGCCTCCCAGATCCCAGGCCAGCAGCCTCCAGTCAGGGCAACACTCAAATGCCTTCCTTTTTTTCTGTAGTAAACCTTTCCCATCCCTTCACTTGGCTCTGGGTCTCTGTCAAGTACATGCAATGGGGGCTGACTCCACTTCTGTAGCAAGCTCTGATTAAATAGCTTTTGCTTATTCAAATTCGAGTAGTTATTTTTATTTCTGCTAATCTGAGGCAGCTTTGAGAGAGTGGCAACATCTCCAAGACAAATAGTTTAGGAACAGCTTGTTTTTTTTTCTTGCATGTCTGAAGTCACCGGCTACTTTTCTTCCACCAGGCCGCACTTCCTGTCAAAGGGATTTCTCTCTTTTTCTGCTCCTAACCAAAGAACCAGAGATGTGGCTGCAAAAGTGAGAGAGGAGAAGAGAACTGGGAAGTGGAGAGGTAGAAGTGGGGAGAAGGAACAGTAGGAAAGCATCTTAGGACAAGGGCAGGAGGATTTTCATAGGTGACTCAATCACAGAATTTGAGGCTTGTTGCCTTTCTTCCACTTAACCAAATAAGTGCTAAATGTTGAAAGTGAATCATTTGTCCTTAGGTTGTTATTTGTCTAAAAGTATGACTATGGAGAGATTTGCGGGCAAAGAGCAATTAGTGTTCCTTCCCATCCATCTCAATGAAGGATATTAACAATATCAATTAATAACTCTTCCAGGGTGCAGCAGAAAATTTTAGTCTACTAGCAGGAGATTCTCA